GAAATGAGAGCAACTTTTGCTACAACAATAGAAGGGGTGGACCGCATGCTGAAGCTTTACGATGTTACGATGCCCGATGATGGAACCCTCCCCCTTCCGGCCGAGCCAACACCTAATCAGAAAACGAGGATCGGCACAAACAAATCGAAAATTAATTTGGAAATAGCTTTACAACCGACCGACCACGCCAATCAAACCTGATGGCTGATAAGCAAACTGGAAGCAATGCCGACGCGTGTGGGAAGTTTGATTTCCCCATTTTTTTTTGCCGGCTGTAGATACATGGTGATGAAAATAGACTCTTTTTTTTTGGACACGAGGCGCCCGGACTTATCATGGTAGCTTATCAGAGTGACACGAGTTGTGTGTGGACAAGTGCGCTTGATTCGTGTGGTTGGCGTCATCACGAGCGCCGAACTTCGGTGTCCAACAGAAGTGATGAGTGACAGCTTTCAGTGTAGCTCATGGCGAACATGTTGCCAATTTTCGGATACAGTGTCACTATTGAGAGATAAGTTTGTAGAAGAAGTTGATAGCAGAGTTTTTAGAACACATTTTCCCTTCGGCTTGCCTTTATTGAAAGATTACTGAGTACCCGCTGTAATTTCCATCCTAAGGGACCATGTAATAAATACTTTAGAATTTCTTGTGAAATTTTCATAATTTTGTTTATTACAGGGGATGGCGGGAATCGCGAAATACCAGTATTCCAGGGAACGGCAAACAAAATAAAGCGAATCTCAGGAATGCAAATAAAAATAAAAATAAACTTCAGAATTGAAAACTAGGTTACGTTAGATTTATTACTGAGGCCTTTCTGTATTATTTTGTTTATATCGATGTACCGTTGGTTTTGGAGAATGCTACGCGAGCTTTTGTGTAGTGGTGAACGACTTTAGGACGAATTAAAACTTGTACCGACAAAATTGAACTGTAATATTCAACGTATTTGTTGTAACTTCATACGAGAAGGTTACGATTTTCAGACTAGGTTGGAAATTCTGTACAAATATCAACATTAAACTTTAGTGTGATAACTTTCATTAACTAGAGAAAGTTCTGAAAAGGATAGGTTAGCTAGTTCCGCTAGAGTACGGCAGTGTGAAAATTGAATAGAAGTTGAAATTGAACGAAGGGCCATTAATACGACAGTACAAGTCAAACGCACACTCCTCTGCCTTACTCATACATAAATTGATGAGGGGACTTGAAGATATTCTTCAAATCCACAGCGGAACTATCAAGTTATCCTCTTCAAAATTAAGTTAATAGATCATCACACTGAAGCTTCATGTTGGTATTAGTATAGCACAGGGTTTCCCAACCGGTGGTCCGCGGCCGACTGGGGGGGGGGGGGCGAAGGTCTTGGTTTGTTTGGTCTAAAAAATATGCCAAAAGTGACAATATCATGGCTAATTTCAAAACATTTTTTGAATCAGTTGGCTTACAGTGGGAAAAAGTAATTGAGTTAATACCGATGGCGCTCTAGCAATGCTTGGTAACAAATAAAGATTTCAGAAAGAGATTATAGAGCTTTTGCTCCATACGCCACAGGTGTTCGATATGCCCTTGTCAGCAAGAGCAAGACTATGCCGGAACTAATGTTAAAAATACTTGATTCTGTCATCAAAATTGTGAACCGTGTCAAATCTGGAGCTATGAACACTCGTTTATTCAAAGAACTCTACAAGAAAATTAATTCCGCTCACGTGGTTATTCTTCTCTACACTGTTGTACGTTGGTTGTCCAAAGGCAATGTTCTAAACCGTGCTTTTGAATTGAAGGCAAAAATCAAAATGTTCTTGGAAGTTCAAGGGAAAAATGACTTTATTGCTAATTTTAGTATGGAAGGTTGGCATATGCGTCTCGCTTGTTCAATAAATTTGTGTGCATCAAAATTCACTGGACCAGGAAACTTTTCTTAAATACTTTATTAACGAGATTTTTAGCCGATGGCTAGTTCATCTCAGCAAACCCATCTAATTCACTTCCAACACGATCTTCAAGCATTCAAGCAAAACTGGCCCCGAAAGGTTAGTATTGGCCTGACAAAAGAGGGAATAAGCTAAATTCGGATCTTTAATCAGAAATTATTGCTCATTTTCACTCACTGGATTATCAATGTAAGCTGTATTTCCATGAGCTGATACAAGAAGATGCTGATGTAGTCTTCCTGAATGGATGTGGAAGTCTTGATAAAACACAGGATGAATGTTTGGACCTGAGAAATGATACCTCATCTCGTGATTTGTTCCGTGAAAAAGATTTGAACCAGTGGTTCTGGCGTGCCATGTCGTATCCCAAAGTCTTCTAGCAGACATTGAAGATCCTTGTGCTATTTGCATCTTCGTACGTACACTGAACCAAAACATCCACCGACCGTTGAATGAAATCTCATTCAGCGTGAAGCAAAACTAATTATTCTTGAGATTGAATGAAAAACACGTCGAATGATTGATATGAACAACAATAAGTGATTTTTGTTTACTCTTCAAACATTTTTTTTCCATGTCGTCCGATAATCTGTCACATATTAATAGGCACATAAAAGTTTGTTTTTCATCGTGAACCAAAATGAATAAATTTCATCATAGCCGCTTTATGAAAATCATTCTATTTCAGGTTTGTCATAATCTTTCGGCTATTCATCCAGCTCTATCAGTTAGCAAATGGCGGCAAATAAACAACACCGTGACTGCGCGAGTTTGTTTTCATTTGTGACAAAAGTGAAATTTAGTGGCTTCTTAAAATTGGAAAATATAGCTGACTTCGTGGATAGTACGTGGGAAGAAAAACATATTTTAACAACTTATAAACCACTTTCATAATCTCTAGTTTTGAGCACATTCAAACTACAAAGTCTCTAACATATAAAAGTATTAATTATAAAGAAGGACATCTTTTTAACCCTTTTGCATTGACCATAGAAACGTACCAAATCATTGATGTCATCAAATACAAGACCCAATTATTTTTGATAGTTATTATTATTATTATTTAGCTTTACTTAGGAGGCTTTCAGCCTTAGGCTGGTTCGCCTCCATTTTTGATAGTTTGTAAATAAATGGTCTATAATAAAATATCAAGAGTACTATCAAGCGTATGAAATAGGTTATAAACATCAATATGATAGGAATAGATATGTTTGACGATCCTCCATATGCACTTGAGCGAATAGAAAATTTACTGATGTTCAGATGATTTGAAGACATTTAATTATTTTAATATTAAATTAAGATCCATACTTTTGTAATAAACTTCATGTCAATGGAAATAATTGACTAATTGTTTATTTAAATATTCTAGAAAAATATAATTAAACGACCATTTCATTTAAGAAGACTCATGTAGTCTCAACGTTGCAATGGATTATTGATTAATTCTTTTCGTACCCGTAACATCATTTTTACCTAGGAATGCTAATAACTGATTGAAATGGTTGTGCAATTATTTTTTTCAATAATATTTCATTTGAATTCGGCCTGATTTTCTTCATTACAAGACTGATGAGTTGAAAAGTTGTTGTATGCAAATCATTCACATATGGTTCTGTTTTGATTATTGTATGTATGATTATAACGCTAATTTTAATTATGTTCATACATTTTGCCTTGATTCTGTCAAAAGATGAATTGAATGACGATCTTCTTAAAATCATCTGATAATAAGCATCATTCAGTAAACGGCGGGTGTTTTCGTTCAGTGTACGTACGAGAGCGGATTTTCCACTCTTCTCCACATTAAAACCATGGCAAGAAACAGATTGAACGTTGACGAAGATTTGAGATTGGCATGATCACAAACGCAGCATCGTAACTTGATTTGATGTCTACAACAATCGCACTGAACTAGTTGTTGGCTGTTGTTGACATAGTATTTTGAAATAAAACGAATAATAACTCAAATGAATGGTTTTTATTCATCTCAGCATAATTACATAATGTACTTTTCAGGGGACCACGAAACACCCAATTGTTCACAAAGGGGGTAGCGGAAGTGCAAAGGTTGGGAACCACTGGAATAGTATTTCCAAGTCTGAACTTTTTTGTTTTTTTTTTTATGGATTAGAGTCCAACTGTTTTTCGTGTTGAGATATAATGTTTTAACATTTAAATTTTTTCAAGGCTCTAAGGGAAAAACTGATTTGCTTAGATTTTTGATATATATATACAAGCGAATTTTTTTTTATCAAGTCACTATGGAGACGCATGGTTGTGGAGGAAGCAAAGTAGTTTGAAGATTGTATTTTATCTTAACATAAATAAAATTACCATCTGAGTACTGACTATTTAGTGTAATCCTTATTCTGGTAGGTAAATGGCCGTCAATAAACCACGTGGTCTTAGGGGGGTAGGTAGGTGGGAGGGGCAGAGGGGGAGGGGGTCATGACCACGGCCCTAACAAATTTTAGAATTTTTCTACGGACAAAAGACCACAAGGAGGTGAGTGTTACATATTAGGTAAAAAAAAAAAACAGTAAGGTGGAGAGGAGGAGAGTGATGACTAAGAATGATTTAGCCTTTATTTGTTTAGACATTTATTTTTGGAGAGGTTTCATTCCAGAAAAAAAAAGTGATTTGAGAGTTTTGATAAACAGTTTGAGTAGCGTTTAAACAGTCAATTACGTAATCAATTTGGGACACCAAAAAATTATTAAAATTCAACTTTTATTTCTATAAACAAACATTTATTAAACAAACTAACATTTATTCATCGCAATCTTCAACTATCAACAAATCTTGCAGCTCTTTAGGCAATTAATCTGCCTGTTTCGGACGGAACTCAGCGGTCAAAATAAAAAATGGACTGTATAGTTTTTTTGTTTTTTACATCCGTACTCTACGGTAACTTTAATATACTGATCCTTTCTCTGCTGCCCTGCTCCAACCGGAAGACGCGTAACAAGAAAATCAAGTTAGGGAACTGTCAAAATTGCGCTTGAGGGATAGGACATCGACCTACTCTACACTGAATCAAAAATACAGGTTTAGAATTTTCACTTAACATCCTCCCCCAGGAGCCGGATGGCTCAACTTATCCGTTTGGCTGGTCCGTTCTGCATCTTCTATGGGTAGAACAACAATTTGCATTGTAGATCGCTTGTACGTGCCATTGTTAGTTCGTACGGTTACTACCCGAACAACGCCATCATTTCCAGGGTGAGTTTTGATAATACGCCCCAGTTTCCAAGTTTGCGGTGGCAAATTATCATCTTTCATTATCACCAACAGTCCTTCACGAAGCAACGTGGGAGTTTTGTTCCATTTGCTGCGCTTCTGTAGTCCGGTTATATACTCACATGACCATCTTCGCCAAAACGATTGCTTTCGTTTTTGGATCAATTGGTAACGAGACAACGTATTTTCCTTGAGACCATCGTAGAACGGTTCGGCTATAGCTGTCAATTCTCGGCCAACCAGGAAATGACCAGGACTTAACGCCTCATAATCAATCGGATCGTCGCTTTGTGGTATTATTGGCCTTGAATTTAGGATGGATTCAATCTGAATCAGCAATGTTGTCATCTCTTCATAGGTGAAGTACGATTCGTTCATCACCTTATACAGATGACTCTTCATACTTTTTACTCCGGCTTCCCAAAGTCCACCTTGGTGCGGAGCCTTCGGTGGATTGAAACTCCACGAGATTCTACGAGGCTGACAAAAATCTTCAAGCTTGTTCTCCAGCAATTGAGATTTCAGCAACTCTCGCAATTCGGCCAATTGTCGCTCAGCGCCGACAAAATTGGTTCCATTATCAGTAAACATCTCACTGACGTTCCCACGGCGTCCAACGAAGCGGTGCAATGCCCCCAAGAATCCCTCTGCAGATAAGGAACTCACAAGCTCAAAATGTATCGCCTTAGTAGTCATACAGACGAAAACACTAACGTACGACTTGATCGGTGTCTTCGACCGACCTTGCTTCAACAAAAAAGGGCCTGCGTAGTCTACTCCCGTTCTAGCGAAAGGCTGAGCAGCGGTGACGCGTGCAATCGGCAAATCACCCATAAACTGCTGTACATCCTTCGGCTTTAGTCTGAAGCATTTGATGCACTTCCCTAGGACGCGTTTGATCGTACGCTTCGCATTTACTGGCCAAAATTGTTGCCTGATTTTAGCCAATAATCCATTTAGACCGACATGTAGTTCTTCACGGTGGATTGCTTCGATGACAATATCAGTAAAGTTGTTCTTCTCCGGCAATATCAATGGATGTTTCTGATCGAGCGGTAGTATGGCATTCCTGATTCGACCACCCACACGCAGCAATCTCTCCGTCTTATCAAAAACAGGATTCAAATTTCGTAACTTACCCTTCACCGGTTCACCTTTCAAGACGCTTCTAATTTCATCGCGATACACTGCATTTTGTACAATCTTCACCATAGTGTACAGTGAGTCACGAAAATCTGCAATGTTCAATCTTCCACGACGAAATTCTGATTCGTTTCGCTTTGCACGACAATTACGGATAAACCGGGTTACGTAACCGAACACTCTTTGTAGTCGGCGAAAGTTACTACTGTTCTGAATCACTTCGTACAATCCTTCATCGGGCACTGTAACTACAGTCACTGAAATCGTCTCTTCACTCAAGTCTTCGGTTTCTTCATTTACTGTTTCATCAACTACACTTGATCGAAGAAATTCCGGTCCATTCCACCACAAGTCACTTTTCGTTAATTCCAAAGGTAGTACACCTCTCGACACCAAGTCCGCTGGATTTGCTTTCGTTCCAACATGCAACCAATCAGCATCGATGGTCAGTTCGCGAATCTCCGCAATCCGATTGCGGATGAACACTGGTTGGTTAGGCTTCGATTTCCTAATCCAACAAATCACTATACTCGAATCGGACCTTAGCACGACACGCGAAATGTCGATACTCAAGGTTTCGCGCACTGTTTTCATTTGTCTAGCTAGTAGTACAGCTGCACACAGCTCCAATCTCGGCGTGGTTAATTCTTCCGGTGGTGCTCCTTTCTTCTCCTTACGGTTCAGCTCCTTAAGCGGTGCAACTCTCGATTTGCCGCACAGTAGCTTTACTTCAACGATGCCATCAACGGTCACGCTACGCAAGTACACACAGCAACCATATGCTGCTTGCGAAGCGTCCGAAAACCCGTGCAACTCGAACACCGACGGATTATCAACGGTAACGCGACGAGGTATCTTCATGTTGTTTATTGCACACAACTCGGATCTTAATTTGTTCCACACCCTGAACTCTTCAATGGGAATCGGCTCATCCCAATCGATTTTCTTCCTCCATAGTTGTTGCATTACTATCTTCGCTAACACTATTGCTGGACCCAACACACCGAGAGGGTCAAAGAGTCTTGCGATCTCGGAAAGCACTTGTCTCTTGGTTTGCGGTGCCGCACACTCCACCATCGGTTTCACTCGAAATACAAAGTTATCACTCCCTGGGTCCCACAAGAGTCCGAGGGTTTTTATCACACCGTTCACATCACTTTCTTCGAAGCGCAGTTGCTTCTCACGGTCTTCTGACGGAACTCCTTCAAGAATCGCAGGATCGTTTGCACACCATTTATGTAGTTTGAAGCCTCCTCTTCCCAGTAAAACTTGTAAATCTTCACGCAGCTTCCGTGCCTTCTCTAGCGAATCTGCTCCGGTAAGTGCATCATCTACATAGAACGACTTCAAAACAACCTCACAAGCATCCGGAAAATCATTCTGTTCATCCTTCGCCAGTTGTACCAACGATCGCGTGGCCAAGAATCCAGCTGGACCAACACCGTATGTTACTCGGAGCAACTCCAAATCCAATATTGGTTGCGTCCGGTCATCCCGAAATAGACATCTCAAGTATTTCGTATGAGCAGCATGCATCACAACTTGCCTATACATCTGCTTAGCATCTCCAGTGAAAGCGTACTTCGGCAATCTCCACCGCAACACGATGTCAAACAATGGGCTCTGCACGACAGGTGCCTCCATCAACACATCGTTAAGCGATAAGCTCGTTGTGGTTTTTGCGGATGCATCGAACACCACTCGTAATTTCGTCGACGAACTATCTACTGTCGCTTCCCAAGCCTTGCGAGTGTCAATATCGAGCTTGGAAATAACCAAGTTTACAATCAATGCCTCTGATAATTTGTCATGCATTTTCAGATTGTGGAACTCGAGTGATTCCAGTCGCTTTTCAACGACATCAAGCAAACTTGTCAGTTCTGCATGAGAACCCTTAACCATCGACTTTAACGATAGCAACTGTCCAATATGAGCTTGGACGACCATGCGCAAATTCTCGAACCTTTTTGCGAGTATTCTCCAAGCTCCCTCATAGTTATTATCGTTCAACGTCTGTTGATCAATGGCTCCTTTAGCTTTCCCTATTAGAGCCTTGTCGAGAAAGTGCAACTTCGTGGCAGGAGAATCCCCGGTGCATTTGTTCACTACATCTGTGAACCGATCTCTAAACTTATACCAGGTTTCATAGCTACCATCAAAGGTTGGTAGCGGAGTTTGTTGGAGTAAAAGAGATGGCAATAATTGAACTGGAGCTGTCGTTCCACTGCCGCCAAGTCTGCTAATAGAGTTAGCCTTTGCACTTTCCAGTTGTTTAGCCGCGACTAGATCAGCTACAGATTTTTGCTCATCTTCATGCTGCTGTATCATTTCCGACAAAGAAATACGCACAAACTGATACAGCTCCTCGAAATCTATAAACTTGGGCTCAAACGTTTCCCTTTTCGTCGGATCAACTAGGTAGATCCGATTGAGGAATCCGTTGAAATCATCATATGCTGTGTCCACGGTTTTAACATATAGTTTAAGGGCATGAATGTTAAACTTACCGTGATCAGCATCGGCAGCATCAATAGCTTGTCGTATTCTATCAACCTTACCTCGGGTTGACGTCAAACACTCGTCCAAAGCAGCCACCGTATCAGCCATAATGATTTCTCGTAGCCGAGCTTCTTTTTCTTCTTTTTGCTCGCGCACACTACGGATCGGCGTCGGAACTGCCCCTCTGGGAGTGAAAAACAAAGGAGAACCAAGTGGAGAGGCAACGGGCGAGGAGAACAAAAGCTTCTTCAATTTCCCGCAAAGTTAGCGGCGCCGGTGGTGTAGTGGTAAGCGTGATTGCCTCTCACCCCAGCAGGCCTGGGTTCAATCCCAGTCGGCGCCGCCGGGATGTTCTGAGGCATAACATCTCTGATCACGCCTTCCTTCGGATGGGAAGTAAAGCCGTTGGTCCCCGGTTCATGAGTTGATGGGTCGATAGGTAGGGTCCAGGTGTGGGAGCTGCCTTCCTGGCGTCGGTAGCATTGGTGCTCAGCACGGAAAACAAGATCGACGGAAAACAAATCCAAGGAAAAAAAAAAAAAAAAAATTTCCCGCAACGCAGCTGCATACCACTAAAAACTTCCTTATTCTTTTTTTGTTTTCGTTTTCTATGCTTCACTCAATCACCGGATCACCGGTGTCGAATTGTCAATCACTAGTCGCATGGCACTTTCCAACAAGCTAAATTTCCGTGCGACACTTTTTCTTCTTCCCTTTTCAGCAGGGATCACTCAATTTTCTCGGAAGCCGTTTCAAAATGGCTACCACAACGAATTCACGGAACGAAAATCAACTTTCGGCTCTTCCAGGCCTTTCAAAATCGCACCGCGTGGTTCGTCAATTGATAAATTTTGAATAGCCGTCTCAAGATGGCTGCCACAGCGAAAATCCACTACGCAATCGGCTCTTCTAAGCCGTTTCACATGCGCACCGCGTTATTTTCATCGACCGCACCACCCAGACGCCATTTCAATTCAACTTCGGCCGCTTATCGGATGGAACAATTTTTCAGCCTGCCCCTATGACTGGCTCAAAACACACTTTTCCAGCTTCTTCAAGAGCCAGAAATCTTCTATTCCACCGATTTACGATCGATCACTACTATTCCACTATTTTCCGCACGATTCATCATCCGGCTCGAAGGACCAAATGTTTCGGACGGAACTCAGCGGTCAAAATAAAAAATGGACTGTATAGTTTTTTTGTTTTTTACATCCGTACTCTACGGTAACTTTAATATACTGATCCTTTCTCTGCTGCCCTGCTCCAACCGGAAGACGCGTAACAAGAAAATCAAGTTAGGGAACTGTCAAAATTGCGCTTGAGGGATAGGACATCGACCTACTCTACACTGAATCAAAAATACAGGTTTAGAATTTTCACTTAACACTGCCACTATCGTTTGCCCATGGGGATAACTTGAAACAATAGGATCGGATGCAAGAAGCAATCCACGACATATATCTTTCATTGTTTGCTTGCGTGAACCTTTCCACGCGTGATGCTCTCTTAGCTGCCTAATTTCTTTAATCATTGCTTCCTGGGCTTCTTCGGCCATACGACCAATGGGAAGCAATGCGTTATTTATTATTTGATACCCATGGACAAGCAACTTATGGAGCGTTGTAGGCATATTATACCATCCATATAAAGAAGCATAGCGTTTGGCTGTCTCTTTTGCATATTGTTGGAATTTTTCTGGGTCAACGGATTCTCCAGATGAAACGGCTTGCAAAATCGTTCTCAATCGAATGATAAGATCAAGATCAATTCCAGTGATTTGAGATGAAATCTCAGCATTTTAGAAGAAACGTCTCGCGGTGTTACCAGTAGATAATAAGAACGATACAATTAGAATATTAACAGGTAAAAGGTATTAATATTGAAGAATCCTAGCGTGCAAATCAAAGAAAGTCAGTCTTATAAAATGCCATCTTACCATCGTTGCTATTTCCAAATTTAGCACGAGGCTTATCGACGTGTAATCCAAGTTGCTGGAAGAAACTTTTTTGAATTCGAGCTTTAGCATTGTTGTACTCCTCCATATGTGCAGTTTTTATCCATTTTCGGAAGCTAAGTCGGTACCCAAGCAACACACATGTTCTATAACAGTTTATATAACCTGGTTTTGGTTGTATAGCAGTTTACTCAACATAATCCTTTGAATTTGTGTTACTTGGGTATGCTATATGTAACAGACACTCAAATGTTCTGATCCAGCAATGTAAGCTACACATACCGTACTCCAGATTATCCGAGATGATAGCTCTGTTGAACATTTCTTCAATGCCGTTAAAATTGGAACTCGTAGCATAGCAAAGGTAGCATCTCTGAGAAGATTTTGTATTGGTGATGGCGTTAACAGTCTTTCCATCAATCCTAGTTAACATAAGATCACATGTGATTAACACCTTGATGCCTGAAATTTCTAATTCGAATGGTTCTAAATTAGAAATTTCGTCATTCATGCGCTCAAATTATTGTTTCTTTTGCAAATTTCAATGAAACAGGGCGACAGTATCGCGTAGAGGACGATCGAGGGTTATCCCAAACTACTTTCCAGTCGGTAATTAATCTTAATGGTACCACCGATGTTAAAAAAATGTGAGCGTCGGAGTAGCTAGGATCCATAAATTTTTGCTTGTATTCCTTAAAACCAGAACTTCCATCACAGCCCCATTTTAGTAAAAGGCTGAAATTGTTGAAACCTTCACGAACTAGATTTTCAAATTTATCTTTAACAAGTACAATCAACCGAGAGCAAGTGTGGTTCAGCAATGCTTGTAATTGAATGTTACATACAGTCTCCGTAATTTCAAAGTGCTCAAGTGATGGAAAGCACTCATTTTTCTAAGAAGATATTTTTTCATAAGATGGATAAAAAAATTTAACGGGTGCGCGAATGATATTGTATCTTCTTTTCGAAAGTTTTGCGTCGACATATATTGCCAAAGCATGCTCAATCGGAATGCTTGTCGTGCAGGTGCCTTTCTTTAGTAACGAAGCCAATTCCGGATTTCCTTCTGCTTGCAAAGCCATTCCTGCAGCAAATTTCAGTTCTTGCGGAGTAAATGATTTACGCAACACTTCTGTTTTTCGCCGCTTGGTTCGATCACAAACGTCTTCAAAATCTTTTGAAGGACGGCCACCTACATTCCGCATTGTTGAAGATGATGTTGCTTCACCAAAAACGACGAACTCTTCTAACATAAGAAATTAAATAAAAGCAAAAAATAATCAAAACCGTAAAAAACATGAAACACTAACTACAAACCATTGCTCATTGGTCTTTAAAAACTCATCCTTTTTTCGATTCGCACTCTGCCATCTTCGTTGAAACTCCTTAAAAAGCTTGGAAACTATCTCATCACGACCTTCTACCGCACATCCAACATATAGCGACACATATTGGTCGACAGCTTTGCGTTTCTGCTCTACACGCACATCGCTACAGTTCAGAGCACCCTCCAATACGTCTTTTCTTTTTAAGTAAACTTCTATGAAATATAAACAAATATTACTTCTAATATAACTAGAAATTTCATTGTGTGTTATCTATACCGTTTTTCTTAGAGCACATTTCCACTAAACCACACAAAGAGTGATTAACAATTTGAAAGTATTTGCTGGGACTCTACTTTTTATCAATATAATCACCGATCACTGATGATTGTTTATCAGCAACTCCGTTCGGTATTGCGAATGTGTATTGACATTTGTTTCACTTTTGACAATTAAATGAGATGAGGTATCATCATTCTTTTGTTCGCTGCAGCGCGCTGTATGGTATCTCTTCGACAAGTAAGAAAAAAAAGATCAATGTATATTATAGCCCACACTCAGAGGAGCATGTATGAAAGCGTTGAAATGAGATTGGTAAGGGACAGTTCACATTTTACGTAGTTCACATTTTGAGACTATCTGATCCCATTGTAAATCGTAAAAGAAATGAATCCTTATATAACATCAACTTCAGCATTAACTTAGCTCTGAGTTCGCACCTTAAAAACGTCACGTGGTTTATGGACGGTCCCTAAGAATACCAATCAGTTTTGTCAGCTAACATGTGTGTGTAGCTGAATCGATCCATTGAATGAAAAACGTAGGTAATCGAACTTTTTTAATAATTTATATGATTTTATAGCAAAAAAACACAAGTAAAGTTAATTTCAATATCAATAATGATTTCAGAACCCTCTAGTAACCCTTTTAATCAAAATCTCCATTCAACTAACACATCGTGATAGCTTATTATTGATTACTTTTTACTTAACCCAAAATGAGCTGATTTTCATAATTTAGAACCACCCTAATACAATAAAACCAAAATATATGAAAAGTTTCATATCAGAAATACATTCAGGATATAAAAATCATCTTAACCTGTGAGTTTTAGCCATTTCGGATAACATATGAGGTTTTGTCCGACCTTTGTATGGAGGCCCGCCACTGTGGGTCGCATCGAGCAAACCTCCACGCGAGGTGCTTATTGCTTGTTGTTCATATATTAATGATTCAAACGTTTTAACTTTCACGCTTTTTTAAACTTTTTCTTGAAATATATCGGTAAGTTTCGTGAGGGAGATAACGAAAGAACAGATTGAAATCGTCTAGTTTTAGTTGGCTGTTTAGCACTTAACCACTCTTCTTTCCTAGAGAACGACGGTGGAAATAGTTTCCTGGCTGTGGTTCTTTCACCTTCCACCGTAATTAATTTGCTTGACAAAAACCTATTCACTCCACACGGCACTTGCGATTAAGAGGTTTCGCGAACACTTCGGACACCATACACGGGATTAAAGGGTGATACGGTCAAAATTTGGTCAATATCAACTTGACGTATTTCTTTCAATTTTGCATTTAAAAAACCTGAACACCCCTCATTTTGAAGGTGTGTGTGTGTAGAATGTTGCTCCTATTTTGATTTTGGAATTCACTCTTCAGTTGTCAAAATGCCGTCCAAGCAAGAAGAGCAGCGTATCAAAATTTTGCTCGCGCATCGCGAAAATCCGAGCTACTCGCACGCAAAGTTGGCAAAATCGCTAAAAGTTGCCAAATCAACCGTTACAAATGTAATTAAAGTGTTTGGGGAACGTTTGTCGACAGCC